TGTTGAATATCAGTGTTAATTCAATATTATCCGTAAATTATTCCGGATAAGTTTCATACTGATTTACAAAGTAAGACATCAGTAGTGTTGCTTGCATTAGGTCACGACATTGGAATGAGCGGCTAGCATCGTCTGTAGATGTATCTTGAGTGATCTGCATGACACAGGCCTATATTATTCAGGGATTGGCTGCTCTCCGTTTGACACTCGTTAATGCCACGTGACGTCATAGCTAACAATAGTTCATCAAGTTGGTGCGATGAAGCAGAGGCTTGTGTTCACTTTGGAATTGCCCTTTAACTGAGCACCTTAATACCAACCCCTTTCAACCCCACCACTGTGTTGCCCGCGTTCATCTGAATACGTTTGAAGGATCCATTTGCTCAAAGGAGAGTGATTATTGGCTTTCCGTCAACTACATGATGTAAATAATCCGGATAGAACTGTAAAATACTACGTAGTAGCGTTTACGTCGAACCGGTGGGATGCTCTGAGGACAGCCACTCGCATCACCAGTGGACGAACTGGACCGATGCATCTACTTTTGTTGCACATGTTGCGTGCTACCGAAGACGTACAGCAACTTTACTCGTCGGGACTGTGAGTGCCATAATGACGCCATGATAATCTCAAACTTCAGCCGATGCACTGTCGTCCTTCATGTGGATAAAACTGAGGCTTTGTGTCATTCGCATTACTGGTATGTGATGAAAACAAGAGTCCCCGAACAAGAAGAGTAACTGTATTGAACCTTTGCTTGTACTTCAAATCCAAAGTTGACATGTAAGCTTATACGTAAGAGGCTGGTTGTCGCTTCGCAGTGATAGGTTTGGGGGTCTTCGGCGTTTTGGTTATGTAGTTTGGAAGTTGACTTCTTGGTGTTTCTCGGCTTGGTGGGATATTTCGTGGCGACGGGTGTGGTTATCACGGGGGCTACACCAGAGCGTTTTGTCACCCCTTCGTCAATCTTGACACCTCTGTTTAAGCACCCCTCTCTACAGTCGTACAGCGCAACAACCACATTGTCAGCCGTACTCAACACTGGCATTTCCAGCCACACTAGACACACGAAAGTTAGACGACCCGCAACCTTCTGTATGCAAAGTGTCCCGTACTTTGTCTGGGGGTGCACCTGTCGACACTGAATTTCTCGATCGTCCTGACGGAGCCATCGTAGTGTACCACAGTCGCAAATGCGAGTGTGTTTATCCACCTACCTACAGTAGTCACAGACTGACGCGTAAAAGTGTAAGCTTAGTGTAGCCGTGCATCTATCTCACTTGAATCCTGGCCACATCTTTTCGTCAACAGTTGATGTATAGTAATAGTACTGGTATTAAATATGTCTATGGCCTGCCCCTTGACGTGTGTGTATCTGCCTCAAACTACCGCTGTCCCCAGGCCTTGTCGTCATCGACAGTCAATCGTTCGTCGTCATGGCTGAACCGGTTGTCGTCAGCGACTGAATCGTACGAGTGGCCATACGACAGTGGACGTTCATGGGGGGGGTAGTTGGGGAAGCTGCCCCCTCCTAGCTCGACCACGCTGGAGCGGCGGTGCGGGTTTGAAAACAGCCACGGATCTGGCTCCATACCACCGCCGCCATTGGCGTTATGCGAAGCATTTAACAGTGTGTCGCCGACACTGGTATCTGGACGAAGCGGATGGTCTGTTGTCGAGGACCAGTGGGAGTCTTGCCAGCTGGCTTTGCTCATGCTCTGTGTACGACTCGTAGTGCGAGGCCGGCTGTAGCTACACGCGCCTGTGTGCATGTCGTACACGTCCAGTTTGCAGTTGGCCAAGGCGGGATGGTACGCCTTGGAGTGTTTCTGGTCGGTATGATGACGCACGATTGACATGTCCATTCTTTGTTTGGCGGCTTGGCGCCGCCACCGATACACCCACGCACATCCAGCTAAACAAAAGAGGAGCGAGCCCGCCACAGCTAGAACCAACACGAGGGTAGACATGGGCAAGATCGACGACGAGTTCAAATTCGTGTGAGTGGCGGCGGCGTGGTGGTCGGGCGGTAATGGTGAAGGAATGATGGTGGTAGTGGTGGTGGCGGTGGTTCCCAGCGGTGTAAAGGTGGTCGTGGGGTTGGTGGCATCGGTCCTCCTGTTGGTTTCACTAAGATCTGCTGCAGACGTTGTTGCAAACGTCGGTGGACAAGGCGACGACGACGCTGCGCAATTGTTGTCTGGACTGCACACGAGCATGCCTAGAGCCATACGCCGCACACACGGCGGACACGTGTCCACGGAGCGATTGCACAGCGTCGAGGTGACACTAGAGATGCACACTTCCCGACACCAGTCGGGAACGGCGTCGCCAGCCATGGTGCAAAAGAGGTTTTTGAGTTGGTTGCGGTGGATATGTTTGGCTTGCTTGCTTGGCAGGTTGAACACTTGGACGTAACACACGGTGCAAATATATTTATTTAGGGTATTCTGGTCATAGGGTTCTCGACCTTGTTGAAATTTGCCTACGGTAGAATGAACAGCGACCGAAACACCACTTGTAGCGTCGTCTACCGTCATCGAGTGTGTCCTTTGGGACATATATATACGTATAGTAGATGCACGCATGACGGGCGTGTCCATATGTCTGCCAACGCATGCAACAGAACGGATCGTACATGGCTCTCGAGGTTGACGATGTGGTAGAATACCCTAACTAAAGTGGTGTGACTGATTGGGTAGAATACCCTAATGAAGATATTTGGTCCAAATTACACGGTACCAAGAGGAGCTTAACGTTACAGTCGACCCCAAGACATGTCGACAAAGGTGAGGTGTGTCAACATGACTAAGGTCACTTGATATGACTTGGAATTCTATGGGCAAGAAAAAGGTGTTAGTACAGTCGCAACACAGAGAGACATGTCCACCAGTCAAGGTGGAGGTATGTTGAGTTTACTTTATTGGCTTTTGACCCATAAAGTGAGCTCTGCTCTGTTAGTTACTACTACAGTGAAACGCGGCTGTACTGCGTAGTAATTCAGAGTCAAATTATTAGGATTGGCGTGGAACCTTCCCACATCGACGACAGGTCGTACACTGTATTTAGCGTTGTCGACGTCCTTCGTGGTACATAATATATTCGTGAACGAGCCAGCGCATTGTCCAAACGACTTTGCAATCTAACGTGACGAGTAGGAATTGTTGCGCAATCAGCCATCGCTCGTGATACCGATACTAACTCTTTGACAAGGCAGAGATGACCAATCAGGACACAGGACGTGTCTCGTGGCCCAAACCTACATACTTGCGAGCAGGGCTGGGGAAAAATATATTTAAATTTATTTTAGCTTGTCAATATATAATTTCAATATATTGTCGCTCGGAAGAACAATTCAATATTTTATTGAAATTCGAACAACTGAAAACTTCACAGGTTTTGTGACTCGGAACAATTATTGTCCATATTTTCGATAATTCTGACGTAAACGATGGTCAAATTAACAAGCCAAGACCTTGGGCGTAGTATGTCGATTTGACGATCAGACGGTGGTGGATAGGCCTCAGGTTCGATTCCTGGGGTGCACCAAGTTTTTCCTGAAAATGTATACCGGTACTTCGAAGTATATTTTTAAGATGAATATTTTCAAACAAATGGTAATATTTGAACTCATCGAACTCGTCGTCGTCATCCCCCGCAACCTCTTGGTCCGAACTTGTGTCGTCAGCACGGTGGCGAAGAAGTCTCGGTGCGCAGAGTTCACGGTGTTGAGCAAGGTTTTGGTAGCCAGTCGACTTCCCGATGGTGGATGTTGCGCACCGCCGACACTTGAACCGAGTTACGATGCGGTGCTTGCCAGTTTTGGGGTCGCGGGACTACGATTCGTCAATCTTCTCGAAGAAGAGTTTGGCGAATTCCTTTGGAGAATACGAGGTCGCCATAGTAGTTGGGATAAGGGTGATTTGTTCATACATTAGTAATGAGAAGTGAGGAGGTTGAATATAATTAATCAATTATTGGTCAAAATAGGCCACCAATTTATTGTTGGTGCTGATGATCGAACAGTCGAAAAAAATAATATTTTTTTTCAGCGTGGACAAAAAATAAATGATTGCAGTGGGACAACTACGATAAATTCAAATTACAATTATTATTTCCCCAGCCCTGCTTGCGAAGGTCCCCCGGCTCGGACATGTGGGTCGTAAAGGCAATTCCGTTGTCCAGCGCACCTTCGAAAAACCAGTCCCCAAGACGGCTAGTGTGGGGCGTACAGTAAGATTCCCCAAGGGGGCTTTTAAGCGGTGTCATTTCGTTGCAATCTAAACGTCATACAGCACTTCATAGACGGGGGATCACACAAGGAGCGGCGACGGTGGGACGGGCACGCGGGGCGGCTCGCTGTCCGGGACATCGCAGAAACGCCGGCGTGTTGTGATGACAGCCCTCGGCCAAGTTCAACGCAGACTACAAGTTTAGCGACAGCGATGCTGCCGATGCTTTGTGTAGTCGACTTAAAAGCCCTGGGCGGATGGGGTATAGCGGGTGGAGAGCCGTTGCCGAGGACTTGAGTGGAGCTAACGTTTCGTAGGATCGATCGATGACATCATGGAAGACGTGGCTCAGTTGCCCATGCGCTGCCGGCAGATGCAGATCCCCGAGCTGTTGCTGCAACTATTATTGAGAAAATATAGCAATTAGGGATGTCATGATATTCTGTCAGAAGACGGGGCCATTTTGCCAGGGAAAGGCTCGATGTCCACAACTGGAATTCTTCAAAAATCGTTTGTCTGGACGCCTCAGAAATCAGGAGAAACGATAATCCTCCAGATTTTTCAGGTGATTTGCCCCAATTATGCAGAAATAAAATACGCCGATTTAGGCCGAGTCTGGATGCCACAGAAAAATTTATGTCAAATACTACGTAGTAATATTCTGACAGTGAATTCCCTTTTCAAATGGGAGTTGAGAAATATTTCAAAAATATTTTGATGTGACCTCTGGATGCTGTGATGGACACAAGAACTACGTATTGATAGAATATCATGATGGTCAAAAGTTGGATTGGACTGTTGCAGTTCAAACTTTTTTCTGTGAGAAAACAGTAAAAACTCGACGTATTATGTCACTTTATATATGTCAGATTTGGTAGCCAAAAGCACATAAGCCGTCGTTTGATAAAATGTCATAGTATTTCTGAATAGTTGCAAAAATAAAAAAATTCTGATATTTTTTGTGGCAGCCACAGTGGTCCTTAGCTATTTTTTTCCTGACACTTGTCCTAGCTCTATATTTGTGATATTATGGGAAAATTGAAGTCATTCACATTGTCAGACATTTCACGACGAACGTATCGTGTCAGTGTTTGTAAAGGGACTTTGTGAACTTGGAGAACAAATAAAAATTGTCAGATAGTTTTGTGACGGAATATCACTTGTGGCATCCAGACCAGCCCTCAGTATTTCTGCTTCTAAAGTAAGCTTAGTTTAGCTGAATGTCCCAACTAGAGAATGGTCGCTGCATACTCGTTGAACTGGCTGACGATTTCTACAAGGTGGAGTTGGGAGGAACTCCGAGGCTTGCTGCATTTTGAACCTCGGATGCATGCAATTCTGAGATATGTACGTAGGGGAATGCAGAATGCAAGGCCTAACGACAGTACTAAAGTAGTATTGTCCAATGAAATAATTTCGCACATATACTGTGTTTTGATTGGATATATTTTAATTCTCCCGCCAAAGCGCCAAATCAAATAATTTCAAGTCATTCTTTTACAATGGCGCGCATCATGTACTTCGAGGTACCCGATAGCCTTCAAGTTTCAGGTAGGTATATGCGCAGTTCTGTGACAACTTGGTTCCGTGCCACGATACGTAATTGGAAGAAAACAATCACTCTGAAATTTTCAACCAATCATCTGCAATGCCATTTCCGTTTTGAGAGGTACTAGTAACTACTAGTATTGGTCAGTGAGTAGATTGGTCGAGGTAGGACCTGTCAGAATTAATTAACATCATGTCACTTACAGTACTCAGTGAAGAGCGCCCCGCCGCTGTGTTGAAAAGTTGAGGACTTCATCAAAAGTTCGTGCTGGCTGCCATTTAATGGCAGCGTGGGTTAGAGAGCATCATTGTTACTAGTAGTTTTTACGAGAGCGAGTCTGCACCGCGCTTTGAGAGCAAGCTAAAGTTACACGTAATCTGGACTGCCTGTCGTCTACGCCTTGACATATCTTGTTGCGTTTCAACAGTCGTAGCGTAGTTCTACCGGTATGAGAATACTTCCCCTTTTATTAGTTGATGGCCCCCAACGCTATATCCTATTGAGTGTACTATTAGTATACTTCTCTAAAGTAGTACGTTGATGTGTGTGTACAGTAAATATATACTACGTAGTATATACTTTAGTTGACATGTCAATAATTGCGAAGCCATATCACATGTCACATTATTGAAAATGACAGTGAACTCCAAATATTTATATTCAGATTATGCAATAGATTATTCGATTCTACAAGGCATCATTTTATAAAGTTACGTGCTTAGACTTAACCTGTACAATAGCACAACCTAAACTATAGATACAAACAGGAAATGTATTGCTAAAGTTCAACTGGTGCATAAACACTCGGAATAGATGGAATAGAGTGGACCCCCAAAAATCACATAAATCGCATATTTATGTTTAATATGTGCTGTCGTTGTGTCCCAGCATATGTTGTACTTGTGTCAACTTGTCACAGATGTGCCAACCAAAAACCAGGAACACAAATCGACTGGTTCAAAGTGGGTTTGACCTCTTGCACACGACATTTGGTCCTGCTTGCTGTAGTGGTGATGAGATCCTCGCCTCTGGGGTTTCTCAGGGCTCACCAAAGGCATCGCCAGCGTACGATACACCGCAACCAGCTTCTCCTGGCTCTCATGTTACGCCTGCGTATGCAAATACGGACTCGCAATAAGGTCTCAAGGCACAAATGCACATTGTTCTCACACACACTACTCTAGATTCTATCGACTGCACTCGTCACACCGAGTGAGATACCATGGCACGCAATGTACAAGAGTAAATGCGATCGCAGCTTCATGGCGACAACTAGTCTTGATGTTGTATCTTTTGAGCGCCTTCTGGGCGTATTTTCCAAACACTACATCGTAAAATCTGGACCAGGTAGAATATTCATTTAGAAATTGACAATCATTTAATGGCAATCAATTAATGAACGTCAGATCGACGTGGTAGACCTCCTCGCTGTGAGGAAAAGCACGTTGTCCTGGCATGCCTGTTGCACGTATACACCGCCCCCGTTGAACACAAGACGATTTGTGAGCTCTTTGGCATGCCACCCACGACACTTTCTCGAGTGCTGCTGAATGCCGAA